GAGATGAATATAATGGTCTGAAATCCAACCTCCTGGCTCGTTCTCCTCCTATTGTTTTTAATGAACTTTATGGTCTCCTTAGTGATCATGAGTACATGATCAACAAACACAACCAAACTCAGATCACAACTCCTCAGGCCTTCATAGCTTCAACCAACACATCCTCTTCTCAGCCAAACACCACACAATCCCAACTAACCTCTATTCAACAACTTACCTCACAACTTGGTCTTCAGTTAAACATCTCTCCTTATCAACAACAATCTCAAGTCTTCTATGCATCTCGCCCCTTAAACAACTTTCGAGGCAATCAACACAACAATAATCGGGGCAACTCTCGCAGCTACTCCAACCGTGGTCGTGATGACAATCGAGGACCCAATAAACGTTCACAATTTGCATGGGCTTCCACTCAGAGCTTATGTTAACTTCTCAAATGTGAACTTTTTCCTTTTACATACACTTTCCTAATATACTCATCATGTGGAAGTTTTAAAGTGTATTTGGCTCTATCTCTTACTAACATATGCCAAATATCTATCTAATTGCTCCTAGATCTTTCATATCTAGTTTTTGAGATAACTACATATTTAGTATATTAATTTCCTTCATATCTAATACAACTTCCAACATGTCATCTAGCATACCACTATTTGTAATTTACTTTATTAAATAATCAAAATACCCTATATATTGTAACGAATACAATTAATAAATTTATTATCAAGGACGGAGTTGGGATTTAACAATAAAAGGGGCTGACAACTTCACATCTTAATAATATTTTAAAATATAATATTACTATTCATAGCTGGTTGTTAGTGTATATTATGAAAATCTTCTTTAGCATTATCACTAACTGTATGCAATAATGGGTCACATACATCTTCTATTCGTTTGAAAAAAGAATTTTCTTGCTCATAATATAACCCTATAGATTTATAATTACAATAAACCAAATTATCAAAATCGTAATTAAATTATTAATTAGAAATTATAGACGAACAGGAACAAGCTGAAGAAGCGAGAGAGATTTGAGATTTCGTAAGTAACTCAGTGCTAAGAAAGAAGGGCTTGGAAGAAGAAAATGAAATACGAACAACCGCGCTGGTTGTAACAGTAAAAAAAGTGTGCAATAAAAATTACAATTTACCTTCTTAATTAGTGTCACACCCCCAAACCAGAACGGCGAAGACGTTCGGGGGCGGAGGATGTCATATTCAATATCATAACAGTTCATAGAAAGGAAAGTACACACCACCATATATATTAAAGTTTCCAAGATGTTTACATAATTGTATTCATTACATGTTCAAAAGATAAATACATAAACATCATTCAAAAGAAGTAATTAACGCCAGCGCGTTAATCCCAAAAGTTGATTCCCAACCTGCTTAGCGGTTCCCTGAGAATACAAGTTATTTCAAAAAAAAAGTATCAACAATTAAGTTGGTGAGTTCATAAGTAGTTTAGAAAAATTTGATGCCATTCCAAAATGGGTGTATGTTTTCCAGAAAACGAAGCATTTCAAATGTAAAGAGTTGTGATTTGTTGTGTTGAAAGTGAATGCATTAGATCCAGAGAATCCCATATTTTCCCTAATGGTTGAGATACGATTGTTGTGTTTTCCAAGAAAAACCCTTATTTCTTATAAAAATATGAATGCATATAAATATTCGTGTTATAAGTTGTAAATGATTGCACCGGAGAAAATCCCTTATTTTCCTATTAGTTGTTTGGTTTGTATGCAGGAAAAACCCTTATTTTCCTCACACAAAATGGCAGTCTCTAAGACCGAAAATTGCAAGAAACCGACGTTTCTCGTAAGTTGTGTCATAGTTTTATATATAATAAAACTACGCGAAGATCGAACCGGTTGGATGAAGAATAGTTTTAATAGCTACTCGTTCATCAAAACTGAATATCATAATAATTGTATATCCGATGAGTTTTATAACCATACTAAACATAATATGCCTGTAACGACGTTCTTCAGGCGTCGCAGTGCTATGACAACTGTCACCCCAAAAGACGGACTGTAGCTAACAGTCAGGGCGCGGGATCATGACTTCCCGTATAGATCTATACACATTTGACACGTTCTCGTCGCGGGAGATTCTGGTTATAAACAGGACTTACTGCAGTACTTTCTAATAAAGAAAAGTAACGTTTGAAGATGTACACGGCTCATGGATTCTCAATTAAGTTGATATTAAAGTGATAGTTTTGTATGCAAAGTTTATCCTTTTCACAATGTTTGATAAAGCAAAATCATAAGTTTTTAGAATGTATAAAAAGATTTAACAATGAAAGACCATTATATACTTCGTATAAGTCTAATGCACACAAAGTATGACAAGAGTTTTCCATAATAGTAATGAGTTCCAAGTGGTTTATTTGATAACACAAGTGAAGTGAAACTTTATAAAATACACGATAATAACCGTATGTTTACTTGTATTCCCCCCTAAAAGAGTATAAAAGCATTTAAAAATGTATTTAAAGTGTGTTTGAAAGGGGTATGAACTCACTTGAAAGCTTGAAGATAGCAAGATGGAAAACCGGGCAGAGTTTCGTTTCGGGAAAGCGGATCTCTCGAGATTCTCGGGAAATCTCGGGAGTCTCGGGAGTGTAAAACTTTCTTCCCACCTTGGATATGAAAACCGGGCCTTTGGGATGATTCCGAGGGTTGAAACGCAGAGCTTCGACGCGAGAAAGGAAGGAAATTAGCAATTTTGGCCGCACCCTCGCATGCTATTTATAGGGGTCTGAGGGGGTTGCGTTACGCGGGGCGTACTTAGAGTACGCGCTGCGTACTCATGCGTCATGCATGAGCGCATCCTCGGTCGAAACATTGGAGCGACGTGGACGAACCGGAGCCTAGCATCCGAGTACGCTGGGCGTACGAGGGTCGGACCGGTGACTCCTCCTTCGGATAATACCGGGATTTAATTTAATTTATATTTAAATTAATTAACAAACTTCAAAAATTCATATCTTTCTCATACGAACTCCGTTTTCGACGTTCTTTATATCCACGCGAAGGTGAGACTACGATCTACAACTTTCGTTTAGACTCCGTCGGCTAGTTTTGAATTTATTTTTAATATTATATTTTTAATAGGTCGGGACAGGAAAAGTCCGTTAAAGTTCCATAACTTCTTCATCCGACGTCCGTTTTCGTCAGACTTTTTACCGTTGCGCTAGAATTGTTGATCCCTTTGATTCTCATTTAGGTTGTTTTGGCCAAAAGTCTCTCGATCTCTATTTCGAGTTTTTAGCTGTCTACTGCTATATCTGTAACTTAGAAAAATCACAACTTCCTCATACGAAGTCAGATTCGGACGTTCTTTTTATGTACGGTTACGGTTTGACGATATCTATGACTTTCATTTAGACACCTAAGGTCAAAAAGTGTTTTGTTGAAACTTTGCGTTTTTACGTAACTTCGTATTGCCGGTTTTTGTCGGGAAACTTAGAATGGTCATAACTTCTTCGTTATAACTCGGATTTTTGTGTTCTTTATATATATGAAAACCTTGTTACAATATCTACCACTTAGTATACTTAATTACGGTTTTATAAAATTTTAAATTTTGACCTGAATTTTACTGTTGTTACAATTAGAGAATTGAAATCATTGATGTAACAGTGTTGCCAGCAATTTGTTAATTGAAAATTAACCTCTGCAAATAAAGATAGCTACGCATCATGTCTTGAACTCTTGTTGAATCATTGAATAACAGATAGTATTTAAAAACAAATAGGATGTTCTTGCTACTTACAAATTGACATAAATGAATATTGATTAATAACTAATTAAAGTAAAATAGATAGGGTGGAGGCGGTGATTATAAAGTCGGTTTTGGCCTCATAATTCTCATAGCCTTATGATTTATTGTTTTATGAATATATAATAATATAATAATAATTGTATTTTTAAAGTAATAAGGAGGAGCTCAAATATTTATCAATAAATCAATATGGGATAGGAGTTTATCATCGGCTTATCTTATAATAATATAGCTGCAATTTGAAAGGAGGTTGAAGGGGCAGAGCATCCGACAACCCCTTACTGCCTCCGCCACTATTTATTATATACTATTGGATATATCAAAATTATATATATAGGGTTAGGTTCATTTGAGACCACTTATATTTTGTGAGACCGTGAGACGCATTTTTTTTATTATTTTTTTATTTTTTATATTTTTTTAGTTAATTCATGTTTCGAAAATAATATTTAAAAAAAAGAATTTTTTGATTTTTCCATTTATTTTGCATTTTAAAATTATTTTTAGAATATGTACAGTGTAATATTCTATTTAAAATATTTCACGTATTTTTCAAAAAAAATAGAATTTTTTTATATTTTTTTTAGTTAATTCAAGTTCCGAAAATAATATTTAAAAAAAGAATTTTTAGATTTTTCCATTTATTTTGCATTTTAAAATTATTTTTTAGAATATTTTGTGTAATATTCTATTTAGAATATTTCACGTATTTTTCAAAAAAAAAACATAATTTTTTTTATTTTTTTTATTTTTTTTATATTTTTTTTAGTTAATTCAAGTTCCGAAAATAATATTTAAAAAAAGAAATTTTGGATTTTTCTATTTATTTTGCCTTTTAAAATTATTTTTAGATTTGGTCTCACGGTCTCACAAAATTAGAATAGTCTCAAATGAACCTGAACCTATATATATATATATATATATATATATATATATATATATATATATATATATATATATTAGAAGATACAATAATGATCCACTTAGTATGAATGTTTTGCAACTTTGGTCCAACAAACTCTCTTTAAATCATGGTTTTTATGTTGATATTTCTTAAATTTTTGTTCCAAATTTTAATTCCTTTGAGGCTTTGACCAACATTCCAAAACATTCTGCAAACCTGCAAACCAAAAATCCAAGGTTCGAAACTAAAATGCTATATAAGACCATTAAATTATTATATAAGACAACATTATTAACCAACCAAATCAATACAATTAAAATGCCAATTTGGGAAGTTAAATGAATCGCACATTATTAAGTATTAACTATTTCATCGTCACTTTGCACCATACAATCATACTCCCATAGAATGACTTCGCTACAGGCTACAAAACCCCACAACGAGCCTCAATAACTTACACATTACACAAACCAACAAAAAAACCCCCAAGATTCGGCAATCACAACTAAACCTTTACCAATTTAATCTAGAATTCCTGTTGAATTTCATCATATTCAACACTCTGCATTAAAACACTAAGAGCCTGAATATCAGCTATACAAGAAAGCCAAAAATCTACAGGACTGACAATACAACTGTGCCCAAAATTAAACACCAAATGTGAGGAAGTTGACGCCATGATATGCTTGCTCCTGTAGGCCCCACTGGCCCAAATGCAGGTGGAACCAATCCACCAATGCTAGCATTTGTACTGTTTAAGACACAGATTTTACACGTTATCAGTTTGATAAAAAAAAAAAAAAAAGGACATTAAATGTCAATATTTTAGAGCTAATAGTGTTCTTACCTTCCTGTAAATATGCATGATCCATAACCTACAAAAAGTAAGATATAGTTCAGAAACGAGTGATGTAATAGACTCCACATAGGAACACCAAAAATCTTAATGAAGAAAAACCTATAACTCCATGTTGGGGCTGTTTGATAAAACAGAATCATTTAGTGCTGAATGATTCCAACCTCTTCATGGTTATAAAAGGCAGGGTTCTTAACCATTCAGAGGCTGACTGATTCGCTCTGAAAGGTTCCATTAAGAGGCTATCAAACAGCCCCATAATCTTAATAAAAGAAGAAAGAAAGAACCAAACACTTCAAAGAGCTGGAAGCCACATACTCGGATCAACCATGGTAGTTACAGCTGTACCACTAAAATCACACGTCCCACCAACACTCCGCATTCTCTGATAATAATCATTATAAGCAAACGAAGCATGATTTTCAATCGTATCCGGCATATAACACGGTTGACCCGATTGAATCGCACTACAATTCGCCTGGCCGGGCCCACAAGCCCAATTCAAACCGTCTTCCAAGCTACTCACATCCGCTCCTCTTCTAGCAACACAAAATCCACCAGAAGAAGCATTCACTGTCATTCCCCCTGATATATCCAACCCAAGGGCATAAACAGAACTTCCATTACTAAAATACACCCCGTAGCTTTTCTCGGATTCCGGGCCCCGTTTATTATCTTCATTAAACAGTTCGTAAATATACGTATTCATCGGAATCATCGGTTGACTAGGCGGGCCCGACCCGTTCAAAACCCGTTTTATCAAATTATTATTAAAAATTTCAGCATTTTCCACCGTGGCATCACGTTCATTACCACCACCCGCCCATGGCCACCCAGTTTCAGTCACAACAATTGGAATAATCCCCGAGGAATTATATGCTGACATGGCGTTATATGTCGCATCCACCATAGCATCAAACATGCTATCGTAATGGAAGAGTGTATTCGGGTCAACGATTTGTTTGACCGGTGAAAGTGATTTGAAAAGCGCGTATTCAATCGGGAAAATTCCATTACTTTGGACGTAACCGTAGTATGGATACGCGTTCAACATGAAAACCGATTTTGTGGAGCTTAAAAACCGAAGGATACCGGAAATTGTGGAGTCCCATGAGGTGTTGAAAGTGGCGGCGGATGGCGGGAATGGCCTCGGGATCATGTCCATGGAAAACGGGGTGGAAACTTGGATTTGGTAGTTTAAGTTTGAGGAAACTAGGGCTTTGTGGAGGTTGTTCATGGCGGGGAGTAAAACCGGGGCGGCATTGGGAATGGTGGAGAGGACTTCACTACCGACTGCAATGGCGGTGATGTTGGTGGAGGGGACGAATGCCGCTACGTTTTTGTTGATCCATGAGGCGGCGGCCGCTGGAGATTGACCGATGCGGAGGACTTCGTTGTTTGTTACACTTACCATGACTTCGATTCCGGTGTCGGAAAGTGCACTAAGTAGGTGGTTGTCGGAATCGAAAAGGCGGATGTGTGTGATTTGATGGGATCTGAGGATTGCCACCACTTCCTCCGGTGATGGGAGGTTGGAAAGATCGGTTCCGATGTTTATTCCCACGAAGGCGCCTGTGAAATTACAAGAACATGACTTATTCACATTTTCTTGAAATACAATTTTGACCTCAAAAGTCAAAGCAAACCAAGTTAAAGGGAATCAAGAGGACACTTTGACATTACCTAATGCAATGGACAAACTGCCAAACATAAACATGACATATCCAAGCATCATTTGAAGCCTCATCGTTCCAATGGAGGATTTGACTCCAACCTTCACCAAGAGCTTTTCACCCCTAAAAATACAAAAATGAAAGAATGGAATTGGAATATGAATCCATCAAATATGGAATTTGAAGGAATCTAACAGAAATGAATCCCGTCCATTTGGCAACCAAAGGCCATAGAATGGAATCTTGGATTCCAATTCCATTGGATTCCACCGGAATCCACAAACCAAAGTTGTAGCAATTAGAGTTTGAATGGTATTGCATTGTGTTTCAACTTAAGGGATTGGCATTGAATAAACAAATAAGGTTACTTCTTTTCCACCATAAGGCTATAGGTTCGAGCCATGGAAACAGTGTGTTTGCAAATAAGCAAGAAAAAGACCAAAAAGCCCATGAACCATGGTGAACCCTGGTCGACATTGTGGTCCACACCAAACACAGAAAAGAATATCTTAAAAGACCAATGTGAAGAAATACATAAACAAGTAAACATTAAAATAAGGAAACAATAAAGCAAACAACCCATGTGTAGCCATGTAGGTAAATGTAAATCTTGAAACCTGTGTAGCTAATATACATCTGAATAAGAGGAAACATCAACAGATTGCTTCAATTGAAGATCAATGTCCAATGTGCTAACTTTAAGCAACAATTTAGTTGAAATTATGAGAAACGAATCGAAAACAGAAGAA